TTTGCCTCTGCCTCTAAAGTGCTGGATTAAAGGCATGTATACTCAAATATAAGAAATTCTGCATGACTCAGTTCCTATTTTTGGTAGAGGGTCCTGAATCCAGGGCCTTGTGCATATTAAGCAGTGCTCTATCATTGAAGTACAACTATATCATGTATTTCTTTTTGTTTTACAGAAAGCAGAGGGCAGAGGCTGGTTATAATAGAGCACACCTATAATCCTAGCACTTGGGAGGTGGAGGAAGGTTCTCAATTTGGGATCATGCTTAGTCACAAAGCAAATCCTCATCTAAGAAAAGAGTGGAAAGCCACAGACCTGAAGCAGGAGCAGTGCATTTAAGTGGCTAGAGGCAGAGTCTTTTTGATTACTGTGCACTGCCATCCAGGCAGACTTATAACTGTGTAGTGATGTGGTCAATCAGCATTCCACCATCAATCAGTTCCATACTATACCAACTACTCTCCTTTATGATTTGGGTTCTTTGTGCCAAATGTATTATAATGGAAAATTAAAAGGACACTTTAAAAAACTGAACTGTGCCATTAGTTTTAGAACACACAAGGTTGCCTGTTTCATGGCATAGAACCTGGTACTTGTAAAACACACAAGGATCCATTTCCATATCCTGTGAACACCAGACATCCAGTCTGGACATGAAGAAAAGCAAACAAGCAGTCACTTACTAAGGGATAATGTCTTTTTCCTTCCTAGACTGCAGACGTAGTGAGGCAAAGTTTAAAAATTCCAAGCTGAAAAGACTTTTAGGTAGTCATGTGACAAGTTGCATCATTATCACACACTTTTATTGAGTGCCCATAGAATTCCCGGCACGGCACGTTCATGGTGTTTACATAGCTTTGCTGATATGCTGACCTTGCCCTTAAGGAGCTTACAATCTAGCTGGAGAGACGAGAAACGCAGGTGTGAAAGCAATGAGTGAACAGACACTACAGACTGAAAATTCACCATCAACAGAAAACACATATTGCAAAATGAGTTAATGCAGGATGGCAAGGATGGTAGATAGCCTTGGCTGTATTCCTGACTTCCTGAAGGACAGATTTAAAATAGGCAAGGGACAAGAGTGAAGTTAAAAAACCCAGGATACAAACGAGGTAAGTTCTCCCTTCCTTCCTGTACCTGGGGCACAAGGACTACAGGGGTAGTGGTAACGGGGAGACAGTTTGCAGGACTCTTAGCACCTCCAACCAGTGGAGCTGGATGACAACAAAGCTACCATGTAGATGACAATCCTAAACTGGTTCAAAGGAGAATACAAAAGCTTTTCTGCGTCAGCTCTATTACATATATAATGCTTCAGGTTAAATGTTTAGGATGGCTAGAGATGCCACCATGTCCAAGACCAGTAGGCCAGTTATGAAAATACACATGTGGCAGAGTTACATGGGTGGCGTAGCTCCAATACTGGAAGTTACTGGATTTGTTGAAGACTTCATCCGTTTATGAAGGAAGTACATTGGCAAATCAAAAGGGAAACAGCTAGAGGTAGAAGCTATTCAGAATAACCTGATGGCTATGTTTCATGTGGAACTGAACAGAGGCAAAACCCTTAACACTGTAAGAGATGATATCTAGTACAGCCAGTACATCCCCACTGACTGTGAGTTAAATTATGGAAACTTCCCATTATTCTTTGGAAAAAGACTCTTTGTAGCCAAGTTGGAGAGTTAAATAGTGTTACTGTATCCCCAAACAGTAAAAAGGCAGGCTTGGGATGTAGCTCAGCATGCTCAACACACATACACCCAAGCAAACACACACTAAAATGGCAGCTGTATACTAATGAGAAAGGGCTCAGCAGGATGGAGAGGCACTGAGGAAACTATCTGGAAGGCAAATCACTACGGGCTGATTCCAAGATAAAATCATGGAGATTATTAGATATTATTAACAGCTTTTTCAAATTAGGAGCAAAAGCAGATTGGAGCAATCTTTGGGTAAAATTAGCAACTATAGTCAAAGAGTTCATTAGCTACAGATGTTTGTGTCCTACTAAGTCTTTTTCCCATTCAGAGGCGACAACTTAATCCAGTGGTATTTATCCGTGGGGCATTTGGTACGTGGTAAGATTAGACAAGGTCATTAGAGCCTCCAAGATGACGTGTTTGTGGGCCAAGAAGATACCCAGCAAAAGGACATATATATTCATATAAGCACCCTACTTCTTGTCATGTGATTGCCAGAGGACAGCAAACACTAGATGCAGCCCCTTGGATCCAAGGTGAATGTCTTTAAAACTTACTCAGCCCGACGTATTCAATTATTAAGAGAAAATAAAAACCAGACTAACAGCTATCCAGAAGTCAAACACAGTTAGGCAATAAAGACACAGGCTTTAAGGTTTTTTGGAGTGTGTGGACATACATGGAGGTCAGAGGCCCAACTCAGGTCATCAGGCTTGGAGTTAAGTACCTTTACCCTGTGAGCCACACTACCAGGCCAAAACTGCTTCACAAAAATTACAAGCAGAAGAACCAAGAGTTTGAAAAAGCTAAGTAACTTGGGGTGGGCAGGATAGTTTCAGATATAAGGGAGATGAAAGCTGTGGAGAAAAGGCAAGAAACAGAGCAGAGAGAATCAGCAACAAGGGACCGCTGCAGCCCCATGGTGGGAGGCACTCTCCTGTATACTCAGCTGGCCTCGCAAAGCAGAAGCTATTATGCCAGGAAAAAAAAAAGGCAACTTGATACAGACATCGGGAGCAAAATTTCTGTTATTTCAAAGGCCCTGTTATTTTTTATAACTATTCAAGTTTAATGAAATTTCTAGGTTAAGTCTCCAGGGGAAAACCTGTTAATTCTATTTTTTCCATGACTATTGCAATATTTAATAATAATAATAAAAAGTTCAGTAGACAACTACTTCTGATCACAGTGCTTGGCTTTACAGCATTCTTCCCCCCACCCCCCTTTTTTTGGTTTTTCGAGACAGGGTTTCTCTGTAGCTTTGAAACCTATCCTGGAACTCACTGTGTAGACCAGGCTGGCCTCGAACTCACGGAGATCCACCTTCCCCTGCCTCTCAAGTGCTGGGATTAAAGGGTTGCGGCATCACAGCACAGCTACAGCATTCTTTACAGAGTTAGTGTGCACTACACAGGAAAACGCAGTGCATGTGCCTGTAAGCTCAGCTTCCATGAAGGCTGAGGCATGAAGAGGGTTATGAGCAGAGAAAGGAGACAGAGACTTGTCTCAGCAACACAGGAAGAACTCGTTTTTAAAAAGGGTTGCATTATTGCCTCCAATGTGCACTGTGATTTAGACACCTGTGCAACATTTACCTATGTATTTTAAAAAAAAGCACACGACTACTCGTGTAAACACACACACACACACAGTCTTTCTCTCGTACATATATTTGCAGTGCTAGGATAATATCCAAGGCTCTTCACATTCCAGGCAAGTGTCATAAAACTGAACTGTATCCTCAAGCCTAAAAAGAACATGTTTTAGTAATGGGTTATTTAAGAAGCTTAACATCAAAGTGTTCAAATTTTTAGGCATCGATTTGCTAGTAAAGTATTTGGATAATACTGAATAGCTACCTGGATTTTCTAATATTAAATTATTGGGTGACATTTAATAAATCTTGCCAATAAGAAACCAAGTAAAAAGGGTGTAAGAGTACGCAGATATTTAGGATTCTAATATAGCAAAAATTTAAAAATAAATTTTACACATTAAAAAGTTTGATTAAAGATGTGCTTATTTGCATAAACTTTTTTCTTGCAGTGGTTTACAAATTTAAATAATAACTGAAAACATTACATGACAGTGGAAGTAAAAGTCTAGGCCTTAACTCAGTCCTTAACATGTAACTTTGGACTAATCCTCTTTTCATAACTCTAAGTCTAAGAGGGTTAGGACAGATCAATTTATTCTGTAATTTAGGAACTCTTACTAATTCCAACACTACTACATGTAAACTGCATGTATATGTACTTTGAGGGTAAACTAAACTAGAAGTTTTGATGGGTTCTTACAGGTAATCTTAATGAGAATCTTAGCTTATACTGTGTGGGAGTAATCATTTTTAAATTATCCCCATTCTGGTATTTGGTAGTTTCATGACGTGTAGAAAGTACAACGGCCCCCAACACTATCTGGCATACGTACACACAGAGGACAGGACCTGCCAATCTAACAGATGAATCCTTCTGGAATGGACCAGAATGCACCAAATGGGAAAGAATTTTGCAACTGTAATAAGTGTACCTATTTAGCTTGAAGTTTAATCAAAGGGAACTTACCCTGGGGTATGAGGGACCTAACCTCATCAAGCCAGCCCTTTAAAAGAGGGCACCGGCCTCCCCTGAGATCCCAAAGTTTCCTGGTAGTCTTGAAGAAACAAGTGGCCAGGAAAGGATTGTGTTGCACAAGCGCAGAGAGCAAGAGCCCCCACTTCAGATAAAACGGTAGCCTTGTAAGGCCCTGAGTAGAGGATCTAGCCAAACTTTAACTAGATTCCTGACTCACAGAAACTGTGAAACAGCAAACACATGTCATGTTCTAGGGCAACAAACGTGAGGTAATTAGTTATTAGTCTTAAAAGACAAAACTTCATTTATTTCTAACTTTTTGTTGGAAAAGAGTGTTCTGTAAGTTATACTGATGTTACAACAAACGCACGTTCATCCTATGAAGTATAGTCAAGGTAAACCTAACTAGACCCTCCCAGGTACATTTTAATGATGTGTAGATAGTTCCAAATATAGAAATGCTTTAGATTTGGCCAAGCACAATGTGGAAAATACCAGTTCCACCATACCACATGGCTACTGATGCCTTTCAAAATTACAAAATGAAACATAAATGAAATTGAGGCAGGATTTCTCTGTGCAGTCCTGACTATCTTGCACTCATTCTTTACACCAGGCTGGCCTCTAGAGGTCCTCCACCTGCCTCTGCCGGGATTAGCGGCATGCACCACCATGGTCCGCTATGATGAACAGTGTATTCTAGACAAGGTCTACTCACACATCTTAACACAGTATTTTTATTTTTGTAGCACTTGAGAAGGGCTTGGTGTTAAACATGGCAGTTTAAGAACATGAAAAATAATAACAGTTAGCTTATTAGACTTATTACCCTATTTCCCCCTTATCAGATATAATGGTTTTTGTTAAAATTCCGTTTCCTAGGTCACTGAAGAATTTAAAAAAAGTTGTTATTTGGGACACATTTTAGATATAGAAAAGCACACCTTAGAATTATAGAAAAAAAAATCAATGTCCCATAGTGATCATAGTTAGAAACAAGTATTTAGACATTCAGGTAGCCCTTAGAGATATGAATATTGTTCCCACACATTTTTTTTTTTAATTCCTGAAGCAGGGTCTCATGACAATATAACCAAGGCTGTATTTGAACGAGGTGACTCTCCTGCCTCAGCTTTCTGAGAGCTAGGATCACAGGCATATGACACCATGCTAAGCTACCTGCCAGAATTCTTTATATACAGGTACCTATTACAAGCTCACTGATTACTGTTTAATTAAAAAATAGTAATCATATAAGGGAGTATATGCTCACCTTCCCAGAATCCACACTTTCTGCAATAAATAGGCCTTGTATGCAATCTATCATTTGGAGCTACATGTTGGCTACGACAGTATTTAAAATATAGCTCAAGCTGTTTCTTAATCCTACTGACTTGGGAAAGTGAAGGAAGGTCAAAACCTTGGTGTCAACTGGGAGAAGGTGCAAGTGTAGATGGTGTCAACCGCACAAATCCTGTGGACGGCAATGCTAACATGCCCAGAACCAAGTTACAGCTTTTATGACGTCTTATGCTGGTTCTAGAAAAAGGCTTAAGGCAGACAAGAAGCTAACAGAAGCCACAGAGGTATGTTCTAACTTAATATTAGATAGAAAAAGAAATCCACACATCACACACACACCCCATGTAAAACATTGCTTTAAGTTTTAATGTTTATTTCCCCAAGACAGCCTAGCCTGTATTCTACTTGGATAAATTTTACAAGCTAGTTTCCTGCTGCTTCTAGTTTTAAACTTTAACCATGTTTTTGATGACAAGGAATGCTGCAAAAATACTCTAGTTCAACAAAGAGTTATGATCACAAAATAATTTTTATCCATTCTACAGTGTTTCAGAATTACCAGTTGATTTTTAAACACAAAGTAGATATAGATGCTAATGGTGGCTAACCTGGTATGTTTTTTATAGCAAACTGTTGTTCATGCAACACTTGTGCTCAAAGGGGAAGGCACAGGAGTTCCTACAATGAGCCACCTTATAAAGAGTTCCTTTTGTACAAATTAATTTATGACATATTTAATTTAGTGTGCGTAACCTCACAACTGAGGCATTATTCCAATCTATAAAAACCACTTGCATAACTTTTATGCAAGTTTTAAAAATACAAAGTTTTCTCCCTAAAGTGGCTCAAAATAGATTGTTCATGGCTGCCTACATCTAAGATAAAAAGATTCTAAAACAATTCAACAGATTAGGCATATTATTGAAGGTGTTCAAACCATTACTTGATTTGTACATCTACTCAAACCCCTTCATCGGTCTTTATTCAGCAGTACATATGCACCAAATTCCATTTCAGAAGCTTCCATATCATTTTCATAGAAAACAAAGTCTGAAAACAAGTTAACATTTCAACACAGCACGGTATTCTATCACAACTGAAACTTCTCTTCTTTACAGGACTCAACAAAATCTAAAAATGAACTATGCTGTAGATTTACCTCATGCAAAGATCTTTATGTTATCTCTGAAAATGAAAAGAATGGCTTTTAAAGCACATTTTATACTATTATGGCAACTTGTGTACTGCAACACAGTCTACTGTGAGGGAAATTTATGATTTTTTTTCATGCAAAAATCTACACAAATTAGTTTTGATGATATGGAAAGCTTTTCATAACATCAAACACTCATCTGGTGCAAATGCACACGGAAACCTTCCTGAAGTTTTCTGACTTGAGAAGCAACTAAAAAAGCCATACTAGGTAAATAAAAACTAAATTAAAATAAAAGGGGGGGGGAGGGTAGAGGGAGAATAGAAAACACAGGCTGCAGAGTAAACCAATGTCTGCTGCTAAACCGGTCTTTGTTTTCATGTCCAGTGTACATTAACACTTGTGATCTCACTTTGATGATCTACTAGGTTTGTTATCAGCCCCCTGAAGGCGAATCAAGCTTGCATGCGTCCACATACAGCACCACAACCACACTCTCGACACAGTCACTCCAGGACGGCATGCGTGAAGAGCCCTAGATTGGAAAGATGAACCTGGCTCTCTACCACGGAGCCAGACACTCACTCACCACTGTCCACTCACACTGCTTCTCAGCAAGCCTGGGCTCATTTCCCTTGACTTCCATGGGCATCGCTTTCATGCTTACAAGGCTTGATGACGACAGCACTTCACTTCCCTCCATTGACAGAGGGAGTCAATGCTCCTTCTCAGGCACCAATACCTGTGACCTGTAGCCCCTTTACTTTCAACCTAAATAAGCATTCATGTCAACTTTTCCTTACATTGCCACTCATTCTCACTCGCACCCACTCGCCACCCTGACCTCATTTGGGCATATTCTGCGATTCCAAATGAAATCTTCACATTTTCTCTCCCGATTTAATGCAGCAGCAGATCCCATGAGCCAAGCTTGATGGATCAAACCTTTTTATATATATGTGTATATATATATATATGTCTCAGTGCTGCATTGTACCTAGCTTCCACAACATCTTTCTAAAACTGGAACCCCTCAGTTGGTACATTGGCAGATGAATTGAAACCAAATGTTCCACCTTGAACTGCCTCTGGAACAAGGCTAGGATCTTCATCAATCTGAAAGAAAAGACAAAAAAAAATTAATGTGATGATTAGCTTTAAGGTATATAAAAACTGAAGAAAATAAGAATATACACGATAGAAACATTACAGAATAGTAAACTAGAAATGACCTCAGATTCCAAACTGAAAAAGTAAATGGTGGTACTTAATGTAATTTCTCTCGTACTTAGGAAAGCAAAGGTACTGGCATTAAATTAAAAAAATGAAGTTTCAGGCATGGTGGCACAGTCTGTGACCTTAGCACTTGGAAGGGAAGGCAGAAGGATTACTGTACACTTTCTGCTTCATCTACATAGTGAGTTCTAGGACAACCAGTGCCACAAAGTAAGAAAGACTCTTGGCTCAAAAACCAGAACCAGCCGGGCGGCGGTGGTGGCGCACGCCTTTAATCCCAGCACTGGGAGGCAGAGGCAGGCGGATCTCTGTGAGTTTGAGACCAGCCTGGTCTACATAGCTAGTTCCAGGACAGGCTCCAAAGCCACAGAGAAACCCTGCCTCGAAAAACAAAAAACAAAAACAAAACAAAACAAAACAAAAAAAACAGAACCAAAAACCTCAAACAAACAAACGACATTAGCAGAAAGTAAATGTTCTAATTATAGTTTTGGAATGTACAAGCTATGGCTATGTTATTCCTAATTACAAACTGAGACTTCCAAACTTTCAATTTAAGACACAATTAGCTGGGTGGCAGTGCACGCCTTTAATCCCAGCACTTGGAAGGCAGAGGTAGGTGGATCTGAGAGTCTGAGGCCAGCCTAGTCCACACAAAGAGAATCTGCCTACAAAACAACAACAACAACAACAAAAACCCCAAAAACATGATTACAGCTATTTATCCTTAAGGAATATGCTTTGTCTGGATTTTTTTTTCTGATGTATTTAACTTCATATTTAAATAGGATTTAGTGTGGGCATTTCTCTTTCTATTTTTCTATTTGTTTAGATTATCATGTGGGTGCTGGGTCCGCTCTAAGAGTAAGTACTCTTAACTGCTGAGTGAACTCTCCAGCCTATCTTCCTATACTTGTGTGTATTTATTTATTCACTTGTTCATTGTGTCTATGTGTGTGTGTGTGTGTGGAGGGGGTTATTTGCCAAATGGTACACACGTGGAGGTCAGAGTACAACTGGGAGAGTTAGTGCTTTCTTTCTGTCATGTAGGCTGATTCAGGGACTGAATTCAGACTGTCAGTCTTTCCCCTATGAGCCAATTTGCTCGTCCTAGTGAGGACATTTCTAGAGGCTTATGGTTTTCTTTCTCTAATACGTTACTCTTTTTGGTAATGTAAAATGTGGTATGAAACTTAGTTCTTGTTTAAAAAAAAAAAAAACAAAACTAAACTAAAACACCCTACTTTATGTTATATGCATGGGTATTTAGCCTGAATGTATGTTTGTGATCCACATGTGTGCTTAGCATGGAGTCCAGAACCAGGTGCCAGTGCCCTGGAACTGGAGTTACAGATGGTTGAGTCACTAAGTGGGAGCTGGGAGTTGAACCTGGGTCCTCTGCACGAGGAGCTACTGCTCTTAACCCCCTGAGCCATCTCTCCAGCCCCAAAATTTATTTCTTGAAAAGTTGGGGAAAAAATTCACATACAGTGTAGTGGTAACATGTCTTACAGCCTGAGCACTCGGAAAGCTAAGTAGGGAGACTGCATACAGTTCAAGGACAGCCAGGCACATATAGCAAAACATTTTCTAACAAAACCCAAACAAACAAACAACTCTTTAATTTTAACTACTATTTAGTGAAACTCTAAATATATTTTTGTGTACTGTTCCATATATTGCATAATACCTTATATTTTGAGGATATATTATGCTCATCTTGTCTCTACCTGATTTGCTTTTAACCAGCAATAAAAAAATGACATTTGAAAATATGGACTAATTAATTTAAGTCACAAAGGGTTTTTTGCAGGTTATACTACTATTAGTAGTTTTGCTTGCTTGTTTTTTTGTTTTTTAAATTTCTTACTTTTCCCCCAAAACAAGGTTTCTCTATAGCTTTAGGGTCTGTACTGGAACTAGCTCTTATAGACCAGGCAGGTATCACACTCAGAGATCCGCCTGCATCTGCCTCTTGAGTGCTGGGACTAAAGGCATGCACCACCACCACCCGGCTGCTTGCTTATTTTTTGACTTTTTTTTTTTTTTTTTTTTTTTGAGACCGGTCTCTCGTAGCCCTGGAAGACCTTGAATTCACTACGAAGCCAAAGACAGTCTCCAACTCCTGGTCTTCTGCATTAGCTTTGTAAACAGTGGGTTATAGTTGAGCACCATCACACTTAGTGCAACTGTTTTTTATTTTGTTTACAGACAGTGTTATTATTGCCAATTTAAAAGTGTGAGAACTTAGCTGGGCAGTAGTGGCATGCGCACTTAATCCCAGACCACGAGAGGCAGAGGTAAGCTGATCTTTGTAAATTCAAGGCCAGTCTAGTCTACACTACAGAACAAGTTCTAGGACAACCAGGGCTACAGAGAAACCAAAAAGAAAAACAACAACAAAACAGCAACAATAGTATGAGCACTAGAAATGAGCTTATCTAGTATAACAAAATTTCTTATCTTTTTGTTATTGAGTTAATATCTTAAAAGAATTTAAAAAAATACCAAAATTTGTTTTCAAAAAAGTAACATTACTATCACATCTATGTTAGCTGTATTGCATAAAATTATACACATGTATACATCCTAGTTTTCTGTACTCTGTCATCCACACTTGCTTTTAGCACAGGAAACTATAAACATATTATGTATAAGTACATCGTCTGAAGAGAAGAACTGGTCAATGATCTCATAGGCCAATTTGTAGATGTCTTCATTTTCATGATTCTGAAGTTGTTCAATTTTCTCCAGTCCTGCAAGAAATTTATGAAGTGAACAATGGTAATTAATGTGTAGAAGTTACAATAACTTTGAAACACATAATACAATCTTCATACTCTAAAATTGCTGGGTTATGTCTTTGGCACCTACTGTACTGATGAATCCTAACTAAGATTTCATAAAGAATACATTTACTTTAAAAAGACTAACAATCTGAGCAACAGCATGCAAATATGTAAATTAATAATGTAGCAAATAAGTAAATTATAGCTCCAGTGTTCACAAAAATAATGCAAAATTATTTCTGATTATTAAACATAGATAAGCACATTCTCCCCTTTCTAGCATCTGCCCAGCCTTTTCTGAGTTAATACATATGAAAAAAACCTGAAGATCCTGGCAATAAATACAATTATTCTATGACACTCACTGAAAACAATCTGGTCAAGCAGAGTATCTCAGGGGAAGGAAAACTGACCCTTAGAATGCTCATTAGATCTTAGGCAGGACTCACTCATCTGCTTTACAGAAGTCATTCGAGGACTGCTGCAACGAAGGGCAGTTACTTGTCCCATTTTGTTGGACATTTCTATTAGGGTAATTAGCACATTAAATCAGTTCATATTTCTATTTAAGACTAAACTACATGCCTGAGGGGCTGTTTTGTTTACCACTGTCTTCCTACTACCTTAGCAGGGTGCCTTCACTACATGGCAACAATCCAGTTACCTAAGAATATACAGAGGGTTAAACAGGGCTGAATGTATGTATAGAGTATGGTATACTTTATTGTTACTCCATTATCTATGACAGAAAAATACAGAAGAGCTATATTACTCAGAAAATAAACGTAGTTACAAAAAAAAAAAAAAAAAACCACTAATGTGTATATAACACTTCATAATAAACGTACCACCACACTCCTCTATGAGATTGGCTATGGTTTCCGCCTCATCTTCAGCCATTTTTAATATATTACTTAGCCCATCANCACAAAAAACCGTGTCTTTCCTAAGAAAAATGAGTAAAGGAAGTTAAGAATTACATTATTGAATCAGCCAAGAGGATGACTGATATTTTTTTACATACTATGATTACTCTAGTCACAGTATCTACTGGCCCCACGCTGTGCTGTTTTAGCATTCTCAAGCAAGATTAAGAGGCTATTTTTCAAGGCAACAGAGGAAAACACCAGGTGTGCTAGCTTCTCGCCCTACTCTTCCATCCCTTGGGACAGGGTCCGCAGTAAACTTGGAGCTCAACATTTCTCACCCAAGCTGGAAGATCCTCCTGCCTCCCCTGTCCACAGTGCTGGAATAACAGTGTAAGCAGCAATACCTGGCTTTTTACATGGGTACTGGGGGACTGAAATCAGGTCCTCATGCTGTGTAGCAAGTGTTCTTACCCACAAAGCTATCTCCGCAGTCCCATGTTTGCATTTAAATTCAGTTTTTTTTTTTAAAAAAAAAAAAGCATTATCAGGGGGCTGGAGAGATGGCTTAGTGGTTAAGAGCACTGGCTGTTCCTCCAGAGGACCCAGGTTCAATTCCCAGCACCCACACGACAGCTAACAACTATCTGATACCTTCACACCAATCCACATAAAATAAAGTTAAATAAATTGTTATCAGCTGCCACTTGGCTCTTTGTTTATCTTCATTATTATTTTTTGGATGAGCGGAGATGGTTAGTGTCAGTGTTGCTCCGCATATGCGCGCACTGCTAAGCTCCGCCACTGACTTTAATACCTCTGCCCCTAGCATTCTTCACCCTGCTTCCCAGTCCCAATTACGTGACTGAGTTTAACTTCTCCTTTGTTTTGTTGTTAGTGAATTTGTTTGCAGTTATTCATTATTAAGGAGAATCTCTAATGTGATTTCTTTCTGTCATATTAATTTTAAAAGCCTGTTATCTCTCAATACTGTTTTTAAAAAAGTTCCCTCATTGTAGGAGTTGATCTTATTCCAGATTAGAAAATTCTTTTTTTTTTTTTTTTTTTTTTTTTTGGTTTTCGAGACAGGGTTTCTCTGTGGTTTTTGGAGCCTGTCCTGGAACTAGCTCTTGTAGACCAGGCTGGTCTCGAGCTCACAGAGATCCGCCTGCCTCTGCCTCCCAAGTGCTAGGATTAAAGGCGAACTAACTTCTTTTTAATGTGGCAAGTTTATTTTCCTGAAAATTTGTGTGTGTGTGCGCACGCAGGGGATGACTAGAGTGAAACAGGAAAAACTCAACTCCATATTATACAATATTCTTTACTATAAAGCTACTTTTACCCAAGATCCTTTGCCTCTTAATCTTAGTCTTAAATCTTGATCTTATTCCAGATTAGAAAATTCTTGCATGGAGTCTAGAAATTTGATTTAGTGGGTAACACTTTGCCTGTATTCATAAAGGTCTAGGCTCAATGTCTAGCACTGTAACCACAAAAAACCGTGTCTTTCCTAAGAAAAATGAGTAAAGGAAGTTAAGAAGATACTTTTATGTATATATTAAGAAACAAAATCGCAGAGCTGTATCCATCTCAGTGGCAGAATACAGGCTGAGCACATGGGCTCAATCTCTGGCATGTGTGATGTGCATGAATACATGCACACATAGCTCACACACAGCCTAAAACCAAATCCAATCTACAAAATATAGTATTCTACTCACTTAAATATAAAGATATAATTACCCATATTGTCATTTTTACTGGTTTTGAGAAATAAAAGTTCAACTTACTTGGTCCTTCCTCCCACTAATTGTTAAGTTACTTATGGCCCAAGCAGCTTCTTTCTGGGTGCCAAAATCTCCCTTAAAAAAAAAAAAGAATACATGGTAAATTTGAAAAGACATTTTCTAAAATGATTTTCAGTTGTTTATTTCCAAGTTTCTCTGGTATGTTTATATACGTATAATTTTTATTTACTGGTAAGTCTTAAACCACAATCAATCTATTCTGAAGAAATAAAAATTATTTTCTATGAATTCTCTAGGTTGGGGGATATGACAATATCACTATTCAAAATCAGAGTAAATGAAAGTCTAATGCAATTTCATTAAACAAATACAAACTGAAAATATTTAAAAAGGCACATGTAGAATTCAATAATCTCATCTTGGAGATTTTGCCAGAAAAATAATTTAATAACGTACATTTCCCTACAAATGGCTATAGCACAGTAACAGACAAAAAGCAGACTCAGTTAACACACTCAGCAGGTACATAATACAGTAAAATTTTCAAAATCAAATAATAACCCAAGTCATTAAAAATCAAGACCACACGCCTGGAAACAATGTTATATTAAGAAAAATATTCATTGGGCTGGAGAGATGGCTCAGAGGTTAAGAGCATTGCCTGCTCTTCCAAAGGTCCTGAGTTCAATTCCCAGCAGCCACATGGTGGCTCACAACTATCTGTAATGGGGTCTGGTGCCATCTTCTGGCCTTCAGGCATACACACAGACAGAATATTGTATACATAATAAATACATAAATATTAAAGAAAAATATTCATAAACAAGAGCAACCTAAATTAGAATGGAAACGAGACACAAGGAAATGTAAATATCTATGAAGCAGATAAGGGTACAAATGGGTACAATCTTGCAGAGGCAAAAGGGAATTATGCAGAAACATTTTCTTATTTATCCAGTTATGCTAAATATAACCTGGGAAAAACCAGGGTCTCCATAGCTAGCACAGGCTAGCCTCAAACTCCATACTGGACTGTGTCTGCCTTTAGAGTACCACGGTGACGCTACCACGACTCACAAGTTATTCTTTAAAATGCCACTAATTTTTTTTTGAATTGGACATTTTATTTTTTTTCTTTTCAAACTTCTTTATTTATTAAAGATTTCTGTCTCTTCCCCACCGCCGCCTCCCCTTTTCCTCCCCCTCCCCCAATCAAGTCCCCCTCCCTCATCAGCCCAAAGAGCAATCAGGGTTCCCTGCCCTGTGGGAAGTCCAAGGACCACCCACCTCCATCCAGGTCTAGTAAGGTGAGCATCCACGAAACTGCCTAGGCTCCCACGAAACCAATAGGTACAGTAGGATCAAAAACCCATTGCCATTGTTCTTGAGGTCTCAGTAGTCCTCATTGTCTGCTATGTTCAGCGAGACCGGTTTTAACCCAGGCTTTTTCAGACCCAGGCCAGCTGGCCTTGGTGAGTTTCCGATAGAACATCCCCATTGCCTCAGTGTGTGGGTGCACCCCTCGCGGTCCTGAGTTCCTTGCTTGTGCTCTCTCTCCTTCGGCTCCAACAAAAGTATATGCTCTACTATGTTTATAGCAGCATTGTTTGTAATAGCCAGAACCTGGAAACTACCTAGATGCCCTTCAATGGAAGAATGGATGAAGAAAGTATGGAATATATACATATTAGAGTACTACTCAGCAGTAAAAAACAAGGACTTCTTGAAATTTGCAGGCAAATGGATGGAAACAGAAAACACTATCCTGAGTGAGGTAAGCCAGACCCAAAAAGAGGAACATGGGATGTACTCACTCATATTTGGTTTCTAGCCATAAATAAAGACATTGATTCTATAATTTGGGTTCCTAGAGAAGCTAAATAAGAAGGAGAACCCAAAGAAAATCATATAGGCATCCTCCTGAATATTAACCTTCATCAGGCGATGAAAGGAGACAAAGACAGAGACCCACATTGGAGCACCGGACTGAAATCTCAAGGTCAAAATGCCACTAATTTTAATAGTGAAATTCAGAAACAACTTAAATGTCATAATAGGTTGATTAACTATCAATCAATAGGCTAGGTGAATGGAATAAGAAACTAAATCTCTCATTCTGTTGCCTATAAAAAAACCTAGCTCTAAAGATAGGTACTACCCTAAAAACAAAGGATGTAAAAGGTATCCCAAACAAAGGGCGTTAGGAAGCAAATAGGTGCTGCCATTCTATTATCTCAGACTGAAACTAATCAGAAGAGACAATGAGGGCACTTTCACTGAATCAAGGGAACAACAAACCAACATGACATTACTTTCCAAAACATACATGTACCACAGCAAGCATACTACCGACAAAGATGCTAAAAACACTGGAGAAAAGATAGCATCTTCAACAGTGGTGCTAGAAAACCAGGTGTCTACATGCAGCAGAATGTAATAGACCCATTATCTATTACCCTGCACAAAAACTAACTCCAAGTGGATCAAAGACTTTAATTTGCAACCTGAAATGCTAAAACTGCTACAAGAAAATATAGACAGTACCCTACAACGTTTAGGTGTAGAAAAGGAATTTCTGAATAGGATTCCATTTGCTCAGGAATTCAAGCCAACAACTGACAAATGGGACCTAACAAAATTAAAAGGCTTCTATATAGCAGAGGAAACAAGAAACCCACTTTTGCCAGCAATCTATCTGACAGAGGATTAATATCCAGAATGAGCAAAGAACTAAAACAAAAACTTCAAATAAACAAAAACCTAGCAACCAAAAAAAAATAAAAAAAAAAAAATAACTAAGTCTAGAAAAAAACATGTCCCAATTAAGAACAGGTAGGGGTGTGAACAGAGTTCACAACAGAAGAAATGAAGATGTCTAAGAAACACCTCAAAATATATTCACTATCTTTACCGATTATGGAAAGATAAGATAAAGTAACTTTGAGATTTCATTTCAGGCCAGGAGGTGTGGCACAGGCCTTTAATCTCAGCACTTGGGAGGCAGAGGTAGGCGGATCTCAATGAATTTGAGGCCAGCCTGGTCTACAAAGCGAGTTCCAAGACAGCCAGGACTGTTACATAGAGAAACTGTCTCGAAAAACCAAAAAAAGATTTCATCTGATCCCAGTCAGAGTGGTTAAAAACAACAAAACAACTGGGGAGGACTAGGGAAGAAGGAGCCCTCTTTGACAAAAATGCAAACCAGGGTAGTCACTCTGGAAACACTACAGACAACCCTCAAAAAGCTAAAGATAAATCTAGCATAATTCTCAGCTATAACACTTTCGTCATAAGCCCAAAAAACTTGACATCCTCCTCCACAGATACTTGCTCACCTGTTCACTGATGCTCTATTCACAATAAATGGAAACAACCTAAATGTACTTCAACAGACAAATGGATAATGAAATGTGGTATACATACACTATGGAATTCTATGGAGCTATAAAAAAAATGAAATCATAAACTTTGCAGATAAGTGGATAAAACTAGAAAATATTATGTTAAATGAGGTAACCCAGTGTTGTATTCGGAGCGGCGGGGTTGTGTCCCCAGCACCCTGGTCGCCTGCTAGCTTATGCCCCGAAATAATTACACGGACACTGTATTCTTTTAAACACTGCTTGGCCCATTAACTCTAGCCCTTACAGGCTAATTCTTGCACCTGGACTAGCCCATTTCTAATAATCTTTGTAGCACCACAAGGTGCGCTTACCGGGAAGATTCTAGCCTACGTCCATCCTGGGTCGGAGCTTCATCGTGTGTCCCTGCCTCAGAGATCAGAGCTGTCGAGTCTGAGCTCACTTCCTCTTCCTCCCAGCATTCTGTTCTGTTTACTCCTCCCACCTATGTTTTAACCTATCAGGGCCAAGCAGTTTCTTTATTGCTTAACCAATGAAATCAACAGATTGATATATGACACTCCCACATCAACCCAGACCCAGAAAGACAAAAGCCATATGTTCTCTCTCATCTGTAGTTCCTATTCCAAATCTTCAGATGTGAGTATACAACATGGAGTAACCAGGAAATTATAAAGGCGCTGGGACAGGGGATGAGAGGAGAGTAACAGGGGAAATGGGAAAACTGGGGAGTAAGGACTTCATTACAGAAGGAGAAGCAATTAGGGAACAAGGACAAATAGCACTAATGTAGTTTAATAAAGCCTCAAGAAAATCGTATTTTAGATTTATTTAAAATTACATAATACATATATACAGCTATGTATTTAGACTTATCTAAATATACACATACATATAGAGTTTAATTACAGTTATAGCACGTGGGCCAGCAATGTTCACAGAAAGAGCCATAAACTATTTAGCAAAACCCCCAGTACCTGGCATAAGAAACCTCTGTCTGAGTTGTAGGTCAGAGGGGTTCAAGAGATTCCTAAACAATAGAGGCTATTGCTGTTACCTTTGGTTGCCTCTCAATGGCTGAAGGTAAGTCACTATTTCTGATGACACCTTACACTTAGGATACAAGACTAGGAAGTTTTAAGCTGGATCTAACCTGAATGCTTCCTTTCCTGTGCTTTAGCTTCCATAGTACTAGAGAGTATAAAAGCTTCCAAGAGAAGGAAGCAATCAACAGTCCTAACCAGCCATGTGATGCCTATGAACCATAACTAGCCTGGTAAGAGCTCCCTAAATATGCAATAATGGTACTTATATGTTGGCAGTAACCAGCAGCTATCTAATTATACTTAGGGCTGCTAATAGGAGGAAATCATCCTTGAAACTAGAAACCTAGCCTGGTGGTGCACGCCTTTACTCCCAGCACTCAGGAGGCAGAGGCAGGTGGATCTCTGTGAGTTCAAGGCCAGCCTGGCCTACAGAGTGAGTTCCAGGACAGGTAAGGCTGTTACACAGAGAAACCCTGTCTCAAGAAGAAGAAAAGAGAAGAGAGGAGAATAGAAGGAGGGGGGAGGGGAGGAGAGGAGAGAAGAGAAGAAAAAAGGGAACCTAGCCCACTACCCAGGACCAGTGAGGACATGAATCTTAAGAGAACTTACTACTGCCACTTTACTAGACCAACACAATTCTAATTATATTCTAAATCCTGTTTTTACACCCACAGGTGTAGAAATCTCTAATCAACGAAGCCTCTCTTCACAGCAAACGGAGAGCATCACAGAAAACCACAACTGGTCATAACGCAGAGATCAATAATAGATCATGGGTGTTTAGCTTCAACAGATACATCTACAACACAACCCCTGCACTTAAGGTTCAAGGAACATCACGGAAGTTAGGGTTAGAAAGACTATAAAAGCCAGAGAACCAGAAAGACAGCTGTGAAATTATGTCTCCTAGAGATGACAGGAAAGCTGTGCCCATGAAACCTCAACACTATGGCAGCCTGAATACACCCTAAATAATACCTCTATCAAGTTATATTAATGTCAAAGGTAGACAGCTACGGGGTCTCACCCCTAGACAAAGAGCTGCAGGTCATTAATGACTGCTAGAGACAGAAAATTAGCCTATCGCAGGGATGACCCTCCTAATTAGCTTTCAAATATAAAATGGTCAGTTCTTAAATGTATATACACAAGCAACAAAAATGGATTCCACATTCTGAATTTATATATTTATGCATTTATATATGTAACAATAATAAAGAGGTCATCAATTTGTGATAGTGGTCAAGAGGCACAGGAGGAATTGGAGAGGACATGGAACATTGGAAGGGAGGAAAGAGGAAAGATGATGTAATTATATTGTAATTAAAAAAAAGAGAAAAGCTGAAAAAAAAGTGAGAATATATGTAGAATGGGAGAATTGGAAAGTCACCATTTTGTCACTCTTTAAATAAGGAATCAAAACAATAATCAATAACTATCTGAAAGCAAAATAGTCTTTTCTCCAAATCTCAGTGAGTGTAAGGAATGATATGCTACACAATAGCACACTCACTGGCCCCTGTATCTTGGGCAAGTGATTTGCTCATGCAATCATTTCACCTGCCAAGTGGAGATAACCCTTGTGTTGGACAATCTGTGGGGAGGAGGTTCTTCCTTTCCTTTCTCTACCTGGGTCCCCGGAATAAACCTCAGGACACCCGGTTCACTGGCAGTTACCTCTACCTATTGAGCAATCTTGCTGGTTCAACTTGTCATATTAAAAGAGGTAATATTCGCAAAATGCTCAGAACAATAATGACTACACTGATTATTGGTAATGATACCATTTGTTTTAAGTTAATTCTAAAGCAATGGCTATCTTGGGCAAGAAATGACAAGAAACATTTGTTCTACATAATATTATTCAAAAGTTTTAGAATCAGTCGTATTTTATAGTAGTATTACACCACTGTGTAGTGTCCTGTTAAATGGGGAAGTATTTATTATGATACTGCCTTGCTCAGGTACACACAACTTTTCTTACCTTATCCAAAAGGTGTATTATCATTGGTACAAGATTGGCATCAATTACTGCCTGAACCTGCTGCTGATTTCCTGCAGTGATGTTAGACAGGAACCACACTGCTTCCTGTGGAACAAGATGCTTTTAATATTTCTCACTAAAAGAATAAAACCTATGCCTGAACTATGAAAAAGTATTCACTGGCTAGTGTCTCCATTTTATTACTGAATGAGTTCTACAATGAAAATCTTATAATTTCAATTTTACTACTCCCTTTCTGTATTAAAAAAGAATCTTTAGTTGATTAAAAGCTGCTCTCTGTCTGTCTCAGTCTCTATCTCTCTAAGAAAAGGTCTCATTGTGTAGCCCTGGCTGACCTGGAACTCTAGAGATCCACCTGCCTCTCCTCAAGCGCTGAAGGTGTGTGCTACAATGCCTAGTCCTCCACACTTAATTTTCTGGATAACAATATAGTTTATACATTAAATAATTCTTTCTACATTTCTTTGGATAAATCACTACTGGCTTCTAATTCAAGCCACAATGAGCTAACTCTTCTAAAGAATCTTAACAGGCAATGCTGTTTGGGAACAGTATGATGGAAAAGAAGCTTGGCTGAATACATACCAAGGAGGATGTCATAAACTATAAATCCTAAAACTATTGCAAATGAGATTCAACACACTTCTCAAATAATGTGCTTTATTCTACTCTCTCTAGTCTGCCTTAACAGTCCTATCCCAGTAAAAAAAATCTCAATTAGTTATGACAATGAAGACCATCAAAAATGCAAGTTAGATTTTAGTGTCCTCATTTATAATCATCATTCATTGGACCAGCTCTCTCAAGAGCTAAATGTGGAACCAGTTGTTGGTTGGCTTGATGGGTCTATGTTAATGACCTCTGAATGCTGCCCTCAAAACCACAAAGATGCTAGGCTACTGCTAGGATGATACTGATCACAAGTGTTTCACTTTCAAAGATAATAAATGCATTGCTAAAATCCAAGTTAGCAATAAACAACAACAAAATATTTGACAGCCTACGGAGGATATTATTAGAATTTACGAAACTTAAATTTACCAATTTATTAATTAGTATTGTAAACACTGGCATAATCAGACTCTTTCGGATCAGATCACAGGACATTTAATGATCCTGTTAGAGATTTTAGGGTGCTGGGCTACTTAGGTGAGCTGTTTTTGGGTTATAATCATCGGCAGTATTGTAATCAACAACCCACGTTATTCTACAACAGCCTCAGATGCACTCCAATATCAGCATCACCGTTCAGTGCCCCCTTTCATAGCCACCACACACACACACACACACACGCATGCACACACACTATTAAGTATAAATGAAACATTAAACTAGTACTATATGTATTAATAATTTCCATTCATGGCAACATTCAACACCCAAGTATCTCTATTTCATCATTTCCAAGAGAGCCAAAAATGTATAAATCAGTGGTAGAGCATGTACTTAGCATGTCAAAGGCTCTGGGTTTGAATCCAGAACCCCATGAGCATCCTATAAAGGGTGAAATAAATATTTTCTCTTGAAATTTTTAACAGTAAATAATAAAAACTCTATACAGACATTTCTTGGAACCTAATTCCACAAACAAAAACTACAGTTTTATTCAAACTTTTTTAAAGACTTACTTTATTAATTTTCTCTTTGGGATGAGTGAGAAGTGCTGGGAAGTGTGAAAGAGCATCACAGTTTAAAACTACTTGTGTTTGCTCATCAGTCCCAGTGACAATGTTGCCCACAGCTCGAAGTGCAGCAGTCTGAAACGAAATGTTCAATGCTAAGTACTCTTTTCAACCAGGATCAGACAACTTGAGACAGGTTCATGCCCTCACACAAATCTTTCAGTGCCACTAATCTGTCCCCTCTGAGCACCTACTCTATGTCAGGCACTGATGTAAGAAAACTCTAGGCCTTATGTAGCTTAAGTTATTTCAAGAGAACTGAAACACTAAAAGGGCAATTTTAGATAGTAATTACTGCCATAAAAAAAATAAGTAATTTTCATTTTCTCTTAATTTTTCTCCCTATAAGATAAATGATTGAGCTGCTTAAACACACAAACTTATTCTTTCAAGAACAGGCAGTTTAGTACTTATTAGAGTATTCCATGCTACACAATCAATCTCAACCTCAAATCACAACATTTTTATTATCTCACAAAGAACATGTACATCCATTAACTGTCATCAACACTGCTTTCAATCCCAGGGCCCTGGCAACCACCAAACCCCTGTGTCTATAAATCTGTGTATTCTGCACACTTCATATATGCAGGAACAAGTTCATGTCAATTGGCTATGTGGTTAGTAACAGTTTACTTCCGTTTTGGGGTTATTATGAATAATACCATACAGACATTACATTTAAGTTTCTGTGCGGGAAATGCATATCCATAAACAGTAGAAATATTAGGTCACAATGTACTCCACATTTCACTTCTAAAGAAACCATACTCTGGTTTCCATAAGCAGTATAATCTCCCCTTTTCTGCATTGTTACCATTTTAACTGTAGTCATTCTGAATATGAATGATTTTTCAATTCAAATAATATTTCTTTAATGATTAATGTTTTTGAACTTTTTTTTTTCCTTCAGGTGCTCCACGACCATTTTGTATGTCTTCCTTGGAAAACTACAAGTCTTTTGCCACCCTCTCCCTTTAAAACGTGTGTGAATGTTTTGCTTGCATGTAGGTATGTGTACCACATGTACGCCTGGTATCTGAGGAGGCCAGTTCCTCTGGAACTAGAGCTACAAACGATTGTAAGCTGTCACATGGTGCTCAGAATCAAACCTGGGTCCTCTGGAAGAACAATTAGTGCTCTTAGCTGCTGAGCAATCTCCCAGTCCTGTTCTTATATAAATTCTTAATTTCTGGAGATGTAAGATAGATGAAACAATATGCTACATGAGATTATAATTATGTATACATTTTAGGGGGAGAAGGGATGTAGACGAAATCTACATGGGGACTGGTCACACTATCTTATTTTCAAGAATTATGATATGAAAGGAGAAAAGCTTAAGAAAATCTCTGTTAGTTGTCTAATAAAGTACAAAACATTATCTTTCTCTAAGAACTGGCTAAAAGGAAAATCCAAACCACAATTCTAAGGTCAATATTAAAACTAAGTAAGTCCTCTGCTTGAATTTTTTGGGGGGTGTATGTGAGTACAGGTCTCATGCAGCTAAGGGTAGTTGTGTGCTCTTCCTACCTCCACCTGGAAAGTGCTAGGATCACAGGACTGTGCCTAACATCAAGTAAAAATAAAATAAAACCAACAAACTTATCTAATGTAACTTTGAGGTTGGGGTGATGGCTCAGTAGGTGAGAGCTCTTGCTAAATCAAACCCCCAGTTGATTTAAAGAGCCACTTGAGTTCATGTGTCCATCTGTAACCCTAGTATAGTGGGTTCCTCTGGCCTTTGGGTGTATATCTGCTGCATATACATGTGTGTACACCCTCCCACAGATGCAAATTTAATAGACATGTAACAAAGATATTTACAATAAACACATAATTAAAAAAATTACTGTTGGTCAAATCTTGCTGAATTAGCTATTTCCCTTTTTTTAAAGAAAGCATTTTAATTTTAAAAAGAAACCCTTCTTATTTTATTTAGTTTGTGCATGCATGTACACAACCTTGAAAGATCAATATTAGTGCTTTCTTTTGTTGCTTGCCGAAGTCTCTCACTGAACCTGGAGCACGCGCGGCTACAGGGATCTTCCCCCCTTGGTGCTGGGATTAGAGGCACCAAGTACCATATTAGCATTTACGTGGGTGGTGAGAATCTGAACTCGGGACTCAAGCCTGCGCATTACCCATCTTTCAAGCACCTTGAAATCTGAAATCAATGTAGTCAATACAGACTTAACATCTCCACTGTTGACTACACACTAATATCACTTGAAGAGCTAGCTTAAGTTTGTAGGAAATATAATGGTTTTAATCTCCAGGGGCTAAGGAAGGGAAATTTTTTTTAAGCTTCATGGTTGATTCCAATGTCCAGCTAAGGGCAAGATAAAGTAACTTAGGCTAACAGCTTTCTTTATTGTAATTGTGCTGTAGACTCTAGGCCATTATAGGAATAAAACTCATTATTTACCTTAGAAAGGTTGGGGGGCTTAATAGAGAAACAATTATGAAGTCCTTAACCCACACATTTCAGTTCAAATCTTTTATCTCAGAATCAGTAAATCAATGTTAAAGAAACTCATTAATGAGTAAAAATGGATGCTTTCGGGGGGGGGGGGGAATAGAGCGGAAAAAGCAAACAAGATGGTTTCAGTGCCACCCGAGGTGCTACAGTAAAACCCGCTTCTCCATATTAGAAATTAGTTCACAGTGGAGCCTCCCTGTCTGGCAGGGTAAGGAAGGTTCTTAATAAACTCTTGTTTCATTTCCTTCACTTTAAAGTTAGGATAAAATAACTCACCTTTCCCCATTGAAGAGACATTACAGTGCTAGATGAATAACATGCTTACATCACTTAGTGGTGAGAAAAATCCATCTTAACCAAAACAAACTTACTTGAACTTTAACTTCCTGGTGGCTGAGTAGAGGAACCAAATGAGGAACTATTCCGGAGTCTATTACCATCTGTATCTGTTCATTGCCAGCATCCGTAAGGTAGGAGAGGGCCCAGACAGTATCTACCAATATCTAAAATAAAAGTTCAAATCTTCAAATATTTTCTCATTTTACTATTTTTTCTTTTTGGGGGGAGGGGGTTTCTCTATATAGCTCTAGCTGTCCTGGAACTTACTATGAAGACCAGGCTGGCCTCAAACTTAAAGGTCGACCTGCCCCTGTCTCACTAGTGCTGGGATTAAAGGTGTGTGCCAACATTTGGCCATTTTAATAATTCTTAACCTCACAACCAATTTAGGATCCTTGAGCGAATACAAGTACACACTGTTTTCATTTCTCTCCTATATCATAGGGGGAGTCCAGTACATGCATACATACACATACATATATAATTATACAAAGAGAATTTACTCACATTTACATCTGTGTGATGAATTAATACACAAAGAGCTGGAAGAATCTGAGGAGAGAAATATGTACAATTCAAAACATACATAGATGTAAAAAATACATATAATGGTATCTAAATATTTTTCTTTTGTTTACCTCCTGAATTGTTTCCATTGGTGGCGGTGGGTCTTTGTGGCGACATAAATTGACCATAACCCAGGTAACATTTCTTAAGAATGTTATAGGAATAGACGGACTTATGAATGAAAGCAGAGGTTTTACAACTCCAAGGCTTATCACATAATCTCTACACTGAGGTCCATCACCTGTAGAAGAATTAATTTAGTAAGATAAATCAACAGTAAACCTTTTCAGAAAACATAAAGCACTGGGTACAATTTGTGGCTTCTAGTATTTTAATAAGCTCTCTTTAGTGTTATATAAAGTAGATACTCTCGGTCTTTGAGCTCAGAGACACAATGTTCCACCACTGCCTGTCTTCAAGAATTCTTCTATATACCTCAAGCAAACACCTGTCACTGTTACCTCAATGACTCTTTCAGTTTAACAAGCTTTCAAATTAAGAGATGCCAAAGTAACTATTGAGAAAATATTTGCAGAATTCACAGTCATGATCCAATATTAAAGTCTAGTGTGGTGGCACAAGTTTGTAATCCCAACATGTTGGGGGTGGAGTCAGAAGAACGAGTCAAGGCTAGTTTTAGCTATATAATGAATTCAAATTCAGCCTAGGCTACATGAGATCTACTGTTAAAGCAAAACTAACTAATCCACAAGAAAAAAATCTTTCTTGTACTATAATATCTGGTGATGTATTTGAATTAATTCCAAAATATAACTGGAATTAAAAATAAATCCCAAATAATATGATGTTCCTTTAACAGGGCAGTTCTCAACCTGTAGGTCTCAACCCTTGGGGGAGGGTGTCACATATCAGATATCTTGCATATCAGATATTTACATTACCATTCATAATAGCAAAATCACAGTTATGAAGTAGCAATAAAATAGTTTTAGGTTGGGTGATGTGGGAGTGTCATATATCAATCTGTTGATTTCATTGGTTAAGTTATAATAAACCAACTGCTTGGCCTCAGCTTGGAACATAGATGGGAGGAGTAAACAGAATAGAATTCTGGGCGGAAGAGGAAGTGAGGTCAGACTCTGCTCTGCTTCCGGAGAGACCGGACAGCTCTGCTGGAGCAGAGACGCCATGCTCAGCTCTCCCAGGCAGCTGCAACCCACGATGGACTTAGGCTAGAATCTTTCCGGTAAGCGCACCTTGGGGTGCTTACACACATCATTAGAAATGGGCTAGACCAGGTGCGAGAATTAGTCTGTGGGCTAGAGTTCATGGGCCAAGCAGTTCTTTAAATGAATACAGTTTGTGTGTTGTAATTTCGGGCATGAGCTAGCCAAGCGGCCGGGGTGTTGGGGACGCAGCCCCGCCGCTTCTTATTTCAACAGTTGGGGTCACCACAACACAAAAAACTGTAATAAAGGGTTACAATATCAGGAAGGTTAGGAAGTACTTTAACAGCTTTATACCTAGAACTTGGTGTAAGAGCAAAGGAGGGAGGCACCTGGATATACAACATCATTTTTAAAGGCAGTGTACTCTATACTAGTAAGTTCACAGAACAAGCTGCCCACAAAAACTCTCAATCATAACATTTTCATGTTAGACCTAGAAGAGGACAATAAAGAGATATAAGAACAATACTAAATACTTACATGTAAACAACTGTGGTGACACATACCCATAACCTCAGAATCAAAGAGGTTAAGGCAGGAAAATTGCTCTGAATTCAAAGCAACCTGGGCTACACACTGAGTTCAAGGTAAGCCTGGGAAATATATGCTGCAATACATATGCAAACACACACACACACACACACACACACACACACAGTGAAACATCATCATCTAAAAACAATCTTCAGCATCCCCCCTTATCAAAGTAATGAGACCTCTAAAAAGGGATTTTCAAGCCCTATCCTCCATGTCGGAGGGTTCTGAGCTATAGAAGGAATAGACTTAGTTCTAACTAAGATCCCAGAACTTTTCCATTATTGGTTCTCTGATTCATTTTCAAACAGGGTCTTGCTATGTAATATAGGCTAGCCTTGAACTCGGGAGAAAAGGGCTGGAATTAGTTGGTTGAATTTAAAAGTTTGGGTTACTATACCCTTCAGTAAACAGACGTGGTATAGTGCTGCAATCCCAGCATGTGGGGAAGAGATGTGTGTGCTCCAGCTGAGGTAGGAGGATCGTGAGTTCCAAGTCAGCCAGATTACCATAAAGAAACAAACAAACAAAATGCCTCTACTGCTAGCCTTTAATCCCAGCATTTAGGATGCAGAGGCAGGTGGATCTAGGTGAGTTCAAGACCAGCCTGGTCAACAGAGGGAGTTCAAGGACAGCCCGGGCTACAAAAAGAAACCCTGTCTTAACCACCCCCACCAAACCCTCTAATTAAAAATGAACACTTGAAATATTGAGATTGTGTTAATTAATTCTCCCTACAATTATTAATAAGTGCAAGGGTAGTGCTTATAATGTTCAACAATTAATTAGGTTATTAGATACTTCCTGTTAATTCACACTGTTATATTTTATACATTACTAAATTTTAATATCTTATGTAAAGTTTTATTTTAGACTTCTCAAGTGTACTACAGTACACTTCTCTTTATAAAAAGAAAAATTATTGGTTTAAATTTTTTCCTATTGTTATTCTTAAATGGAGAAAGTTAATAAAGTGGGCACTAATATAAAACTAAATTTAAGTAATTTATATATCTTACAATCCTATCAATGAGAGACTACCAACAAAAAGATGTAACAGTAACTTAAGCAACAAACACATTCCTTTTATTTATTGTTTTACATGTATAGTTACATAATTAAAATTTCTTTGCTTATTTCACAAAAACTAAATGACAAGAAATTACTTTTCAACTATTAGCAGTCATTTTTATTGGCTAGTATACGATTTTCTAACTTACTGGATTAGCATTCTAAGTTTTATACAAACCTATAATATTTCCCAATGCCCACACTGCCTGCTCACAGACATTCTGATGTGGTGAATGCAGCAGCCTTAGGAAAAGTGGCACAGCATCTAAAAGGGGAAATTACAGAACAAAGATGAGACCCCAACAAAACATAATACAAACTACCAAAATTATTTCTGTGAAAAAGTAACATCAAAATTTTAACATATAAACCATTCCAAATTAAAATTCCGCATATTTCATTTACAATTAAACCTGGGCTTAATTACGATTGTTTATCTGGCTCCAGAGACTGAACCTAGGGCAGTCTACACATTGTCCTCATGACCTGTCACTGCACTATGGCCCCAGCAAAACACCAATGTACATAAAATAAAAATAATAAGTTAAAAAAACTTAAAACATAACAAAAAATAAATAGTTAAAAAATTGTGAAGAATATGACATAGATAGAACCATAAAACCTACTGAACCTGTTAACTCTACACACAAAACAAAACCAGTTTTAGTAGGATTTAAGGTAATTTCTAACTAGTATTAAGATGTAAAATGCTTATTAGTTGGATAATATAAATCATACAGAAAGGAATCCAAAAAAAAAAAAAAAAATCAAAAGGACTTTGGCAAATGGGTTTACCAGTCCATAGAACAAGACAAGTAAAGGAACATACTCAGGAGAGCTGTTTCAACAACCCTAGGTCTTAGGGGTAGATACTATTCTGTAATATAGCTTTTAGGAGGATCTATGAATTTATTTATTTTTAAAGATGAGGCCCCAAATTCATGATCCTTCTATGTCAGCCTCTCAAGGGTTGGGATTGAAAGCATGTGCCACTATGCCTGGCCAGCACAGGATAACAATTTTGTTAACTAACTCACTGGATTGAACCACGGCTTGTGTCTGTTCAGATGTTCCAGATGCAATGTTTGTCAAAGCCCATGCAGCTTCAAACTGTAAAGAAGGACTAAGAACAAAGAGCAAGAGATTTTATACCACACATTTCACTTCGCCTACATATCTAGTAACCTTTTTTCTCCCTCTTTAATGTGTTGTTCCAAAGTTTACTTATCCATCTATCCTTCAAAATATAACCCAGTCATTTCATGATGAAATTCAGACATGTGCCCCCAAATGCCCTTCTTAGTAGTTTTAGCTCTGTCTTTACTAAAATAGATTCTTACTATCATTCCTCAGTTTTGAAGCACTTATCTTGCCAGGTTCCCAAGTTAAAGTCATTCTCAAATTTGTTTTTGGTGCTTATAATGGTTTTAACTTCCAATTCTATCCCATAACCTCTCTTTCCCTCCTTCCTCTCTCCCCTTACCTCCCCTCCCTCCCTCCCTCCCTCCTCCTCCTCCTCCTTCCTCTC